CACCTGCATCTGATCCGAGGACCTCACCTCACATCACCTCACCTCACATCACCCCAATCTGATCCGTGGAGATACGGTTAAAGAATTCTGGTAACCTCACCTCGCCTCGCCCTCGCCTCGCCTCACCTCACCTCACCTGATCCGTGGAGATACGTTTGAAGAATTCTGATCACCATAATTACCACTGCTTCTCCAACAGGGGACTTAATTGATCGGGTGGTGACAGACATGTAATTGTATCCCAGTTATCTCGATCAATGCTTACGATGTCAATCAGAGGACTCGACTATTTAGACACTACTGTCACTAGCTTGAATAGCTTGTTAAATGACCAGACCCAAAACACATCTACCATTTTTTACATCTCTGTTGTGTTGCTCCTTTACGTGCTCAAACACCTATTTTAGAGTGAATTATACTTTTACACCACTTTTACCAACATTCCAGCAATATCACGGTGGGGGACATCAGAAATGGGCTTCACACATTGTGCCCATTTGGGAATCGAACCGGGGTCTTCGGCGTGACAAGCCAACGCTCTAACCACAGGGCTACCCCACCGTCCCGCCTATGTTAGGACGTTGTTTATATCGAATATCCGCACACAGCTGGGTATATGTTGGATCAGCTGAGTGATATCGGCAGTTCTTGACAGGGACACGTACAGTGGTAGTCATCGTCAAATGGTTAGTGAGAGAATAATTCTCAACGCCGCACCGCCAATTTTGCAGCTGAGAGTCGGGTTTCACGCCGTTTTCAGCATTGTTACAATACGTCAACGGCAATACGTCACTGGCGACACCAGAAATGGGTTTCACACATAGTACCAATGTGTGGAATCGAACCCGGACCTTCGGTCTGGCGAACGAACGGGTTACCCAGGATACCCCACTAGCCCTCATGAGATAAGACATTTAGTGTTCATTTTCATCTTTTAGGTAAAAGCTACATCCTGAATATTCAATTCCACACCTACAATAAGTGAAATATTTCGTCCTCTCACAAGTCAGATGTAGTGGGACGTCTACAATAGAAAAATGCTTCAAATTCCTGAAAACACTACCTCTGATTCTCTATGATCCATTCGCCCGCCTCCGTGATGTAGGTTAGAGCGTCCACCCGGAGAGCGGAAGGTCGCGGATTCGATCTGCGGCCGCGTCATACAAAAATACGTTAAAATATGGTGTTAAAATATGGGCTCGGCATTAATGGGTACAACAAGGGCTGGTCGGCTCGGAGTCAGTATACTGTGTCTGAGTGGGGTATTCATGCTTCACTGCGGCATGGTATCTCAGCGAGCTAGCACTATAAAACCAGCTTAAGTCTGGGCTAGTACAAGCAGCCACACATACACACGCATGCACGTCGTCATATGAGAGAAATATTCTTAAGTGCGACGTTAAACCCAATTTCACCGCCCCTCACCTATGATCATATCATATTTACCGCTATTTCACCCCTTTCGCTGAATTAAATTATTTTTGTTTCTGCGGAATAATTAAGACTGGTTTTTCTCTTGCATTGACGTTTAATATTTTATTCTCCGAAACTCATTTAATTTCCATTAAAGAAAATATTGAATGGATCTAAATGTCTTGTTTATTAATAATTCAGCTTTAAGAGTACGGAAATAGCTTTAAGCTATAGCTTTATCTTACCAAGGTGAGCAATAGCTTTCCATTTTTAGTGGATGAAATATTAATAGCCTATATTTTAAATTATCTTTAACTTTTAAATTTACTATTTAAAGAGTTTCCATGATTAGATTCTTGTACAAGAGACATGACGCACGTGAAATTGCTTCAAAGGGCATATACTTCGATCTTTGATTAATAAATTGAACTGATGAGTGTTGTCATGGTAACTGATCCCACCAGTTCCTGTTTTCAAGGGAGACAATTCTTTGGATGCACAACTTCTGTATTACAATGTAGGCGACGTTTCGGTGCTGATGCCAACACCGTTGGCAAGCGTGTGTTAGAATCTACACCGAAAGATCAGATGTATTGTGATGAAAAAGTTGCATACCTCCCATCTTCCTCGCTCCGAATGCCACTCAAATACGTATATCCATAAGTCAGATATCTCTGTGTTCGTCTTTAGTTTACATCAAAATGCTAACGTTTGTTATCCAAATCGTTAGAGGTTCGTTGTCTCAGTGTGTTGGTCGTTGTGATACAATTGGTCATGATCATGGCATGTGTTTGGGGGTTTTCCAAACGAATCGTGGTCTGCTTATATTTTATTCAATTTTGTTTGGTGTGTTTTTTGGTTTGGTTTAAAGCCGCACTCAGAAACATTTAAGTCATTTGAGTGAGTGAGTATGATTTTACGCTGCTTTTAGCAATATTCCAGCAATATCACGGCGGGGGACACCAGAAATTGACTACACACATTGTGCCCACGTGGGGAATCGAACCCGGGTCTTCGGCGTGACGAGCGAACGCTTTAACCACTAGACTACCCCACCGCCCCTTCAAGTTATTTGATGGCGCTCTGGACATAAGTGAGTATCTAGTGATTGATGTTATGAACCTCAATCCACGCAGTTGGAATTCGATGACAAACAGAGATATTTTGTGTTCCAAAAATCATATTACTTCTGTCAAATGACCATGCGGTCCCGTTAGTTGCCTTTTATGACAAGCATGGCTCAGTTTGCTGAGTTGTAACATGAATGTTATTATTCCTGTAACTAGGCCTTGTAAGCACTGAGCAATATTTGGCTATACGCAGCACTGAGCCTCTCTGGTTATTCTTGCGTATCTAGTGGACAGTGAGCCTTCCTGTGTTGGAGTCTTGTGTCGTATGGGAAGGTAGTCAGAAGATGTCTTTTCATGACGCATCGATTCCTGCAGTCGGGACAAGTCTTACATCTGTCTTACAGCGAGGTTACAGGCGTCTGGGATCACGTAGGTTCATCGAGAATGTCTTTACAGTCTTACATCACGTCAGATCTCGACATCTCGTCTTACATCACGTCTTACATCACGTCTTACATCACGTCTTACATCACGTCTTACATCACGTCTTACATCACGTCTTACATCACGTCTTACATCACGGCAGAACTACATGCGCCCGTGAAGATCCGGGTTACAGTTGGTCTTCAGTAACCCATGCTTGTTGTAAGAGACGACTAACAAGATCGGATGGTCAGGCTCGCTGACTTGGTTGACACATGTCATCGTATCCCAGTTGCGTAGATCGATACTCATGCTGTTGATCACTGGATTATCTGGTCCAGACTCGATTATTTACATACCGCTGCAATATAGCTGGAATATTGCTGAGTGCGGCGTTAACCAACCAACCGACCAGAACTACAAGCACTGTTTGTATATAGGTGTTAAAGCCACTGCATGACCGACAAGATGACGTCGTTCACTGTTTTGATCCTTGCATTAAAATTCAATCATATTCAAGCTATACGGCGGTACTCTGTGAATAATCGAGTCAGGAGAAATTATCACTGTTGTGTGCAACGAGCCATGCAGTCAGGATACGAAGACCTATCAACTAAGCTACCGAACCTGACCATCCGATTCACTGTACTCCCATCGGTTCGGTGCAAAGCCATGTTTGCTAAAACGTCAATAACTGATTCCGTATGAACACATGGAACTTCCGCTTTATCCAAATATGAAACTGCTTCGGTATGTTCAGAAAACTATTTTCCAGACAATAATACGAGAAGTAGACTAAATATATACACCCATACCCCTCGTTGTGTAGTTGCAAGCCTTGCCTTTTACATTGGGTTCCAACCACAACTGCAGCTAGCATCACCCGTTCATTAACGTTCCTTCACGGTACATCAACATGTCTAATCATTTACTGCCAATGACTGTGACGAGTATTGTTTAACAAAGCAGCCTTAATTCCTGGAGCACCGGCCCTAGTAAAACCTGATGAAACATTAATGGCCTCTTTGGGGAATTAATGTATTGCTACAACCCGTATCCCTAAATAATGCATTGGTACTCATGGTCTACGAGAGGCAGTTCGGGGATGTACACAGTGCGAAGTGTTCTTACAGAACTAAAAGCCAACACATGGCAGGGTTAGTATTGAGCAAACATGTATGGTAGATTGATCATGAATTGCATACATTTCATTTACCGTAACAGCAGTGAGATACTTAACGTACATAGCAGTACATTATGCGTTGGATACTGTGAAAGGTACATGGAACATACTGGTTAGCTTCAATGTTTTAACATGGCTCGTGTCGCCAATACATTGATGACAGTTTAGTCATTTGTATTCTGAAATAATATCAACCTTTAAGAGTTCTCAGGCACAGGTTTCATACAACCACATGCATTTAGAAGAAGTTGGTGTGATGAACAACAAGGAGAGTTCTATGGATATACAACTTCTTTAATATAATATGAGCGACGTTTTGGTGTAGCTACTAACACCGTTATCAAGCAAATGATGATCATTTGCTTGATAACGGTGTTAGTAGCTACACCGAAACGTCGCTCATATTATATTAAAGAAGTTGTATATCCATAGAACTCTCCTCGTTGTTCATACAACCAGTTAAAGCTCCTGTCCGCACAAGAGTACAGTCTATGCGAATTGCATGTTGAAAATTCGCTGTTGAAATTTTGCAGTGGTACACAGTTATAGATGTCATTTTCATATTTTGAGGAATACAATATTTAGGAATAAACACCCCGTGGAATGAGAAATGTGTTCCTGAGCTGATGTCCAGCAATTCTCTCTCTTAAGACAATCGCGTGTGTAGACATGGTTTGCATCGTCCGTGCATCACATCTCACCTATGAAAAGTTCTGTTTTCATGTCACCTGCATCAGATGTTATGTTTCACACAGCAAATGCAATCAAAACTTCTACGGACTAATGATAAACCACTCTAGATGCACATTGACATGTCCAACAGGTATGGAAAATAAAGTGATTCTGCAAAAGAAAAATCCTCTTTTGATAACTGGCTTGGTAAATTCTAACTGCCTATGAGAACATCTTACCTTCGTATGATAAAACACCGAGCTCGACTGGAAATGTCTGTGGTTGATTCTGTAGTTGTGTCCAGCCAAAGAGACTCTGTACTCCTACGTTCTAATCATGCATCTACTACAAACAGCGAATGTGGGAGAACCTCCGCTTGTTCACGTCACGTGACTACCGACGTCACAGCACGAGCCCACACTTACAATTCTAGAGGACCAGCGTGGAGATAATGCCCTGGCATCGTTGGTGCGGAGCGGTTGTGACAAACTAAAGCGGTCGATACGTTCAAGCAGGAACCTGAACCGGCAGCCCGCTGATTGGTCTTTGTGTGTCATCTATTTGGACGCATGTTTAACTATGGGAGCGGGGTGTGTAACTTGGTCTTGAGAAATGACGTTGCAGTATCGTCTTCATATATCGGAGCTGTTAAAATTGCAGGCCGTTTGTTGCACTGCATTGGAGTGGGGTGGTTGATGAGCTGATTTTGAGGACCTCAATCGTTTAATGTGGCAACAGCCGTCGAGTGATTGATTTGGTTTTGTTTAATCGGAGTGTAGCATGAAAACATAGGTTTCTAAGAAAAAGTGTCATTTCCAATTTGTCATCGGGAATAATGTTTTCTGTCAATTCCATTACATTGTAAAGCGATTACTGTAGACCGCTGAATTGTTGAATAATTCATGATGGTCGCTGTCATCAGAGGCTTCCGTGCTGCTACAGACATGATTAAAGACCAAATATTCAGAAAAGCAACATGACGACACAAGGAAGAAAAAACGACCAGAGACTGCAACAATATAAGGATGTACTAGCCGCTAGCCCTGGCTATGTTTGATACGAGAGTCAGTGTAAGTGATTATGTTGAGTGCGTGAGTATCTAGTATGAGAAATAGTAATTCCAACGTTGTTTGGTTTGTTGTCTAACGCCGCGCTCAGCAATATTCCAGCTATATGGCGGTGGTCTGTAAATAATCATGTCTGGAGCAGACAATCCAGTGATCAACAGCAGGAGCATCGATCTACGCAATTGGGATACAATGACAAGTGTCAACCAAGTCAGTGCGTCTGACCACCCGATCCCGTTAGTCGCCTCTTACGACAAGCATAAGTTGCTGAAGACCAATTCTAACCCGGATCTTCACGGGCGCATGTAGTTCTCCCGTGATGTAAGACGTGATGTAAGGGAAGGCCTTGGAAGGGATATGGTAGATCCATCAGTTTTAGAAACCGCAAATTTCGGTGCAAAGTTTAGTCTTAAATATACTGAGTCAAAAAAGAAACTTCACATTCTTTCTTCAGGGCACTATAAAAGAACAAGAGATGGTAAGATGGTTAAATTGTTATTATTTCATTGCTGAGACATGTGTGATGTACTCGATACACTGACAGTGCCATAATCAGTTCAATTAGGCTACACCGCCGTTCCAAAACATGGGTATACAGAATGTCAAGTCACAAGAATAAAAAATGCGAAATTTCTCAGTTCAATATCTCGTTTGGCCGCCCCGCGCATTCACCACTGCCAAACACCGTCTCCTCATCGACTGCCTGATGCTTGTGAACACGTGGTTGGGGATTCTGTGCCATTGCTCTTGCAAGGCAGCGCCAAGTTCCTGCAAATTCTGAGGTTGGTTCCTAAGACCACGAAGCCTTCTCCTAAGTGCATGCCAAACGTGCTCTATTGGATTAAGGTCAGGGGACCTCGATGGCCAGTCCATGACGTTGATTCCAGCGTTTTGAAGGAAATTTCGTGTCAACATCGCGGTATGCGGCCGAGCATTATCATGCTGGAACTGTAGACCTGGGCCATGAGCCGCCATGAAAGGAACGAGTTCAGGGGTGAGCACCTGGTCGCGGTAAGCAGCAGCTGTGAGGTTTCCACGGATGACCAGAAGTCGGAAACGGTTGTTCCCACAGAAAGCACCCCACACCATGCAACTTCCGCCCCCGAATCTGTCGACTTCCTGTACACAACATTGGGCATACCGTTCACGACGTCGTCTCCAGACTCTATGCCTGCCGTCCGCGAATCTGAGGGTAAACCTGGATTCATCGCTAAAGACGACTCGATTCCAGTCTCTCTGGGTCCATCGGAGGTGACGTTGGGCCCACAGCAGACGTTGACGTTGATGAAACGGCGTCAATATTGGCCCACGATATGGACGTCGAAAATGGAGATTGGCAGCCCGCAACCGATTTCGAATGGTCTGTGAGGACAGTCGACCTCTAAACATCTCAGCCCTGGTTCGTGTAGCCGGCAGAAATCTGTCACGTAGGTGACGTAGGACGATTTGACGGTCTTCTGCTCGTGACGTCACACGTGGACGACCCGACCTTGGGCGATCAGAAGTGGTGCCAGTTCGTTGTAGACGACCTCGCAAGTCATACACAGTACGACGGCTGCATCCCATTGCTCTTGCGACGTCAATAACTGATCTTCCCGCTTGCAACATGCCAACGGCACGCTCACGTTGCACATTTGACAATCGTGGCATTTCAAGTACCGTTAGAACTGTTGTTTAAAAGTGTTTTTTCAATTCTTGAGGCCAATGCAAACACGTGCATATGAAGAAAACTTCGATGCGAAGATCACGTGATCGACTGCACGTGCAAAACCTGATTTGGCACTAACATCATTTGCACGACGAATGGATGGGTTTGAGTGGGTTTTGCTAACGTTTTTCTAGAGTCGAAAGATAGGGGATCCCTTTTCGGATACATAGATGTATCATCCGAGAAAAATTATTCATTATTTTTAACAATTACATTTTCTGAAGTTTCTTTTTTGACTCAGTATATATGATTGTGGGTTAGAATACCAGATTTGCCCTGATAATGTTTCCACCCCAAACCAGGGCTGGAAGGGATTGAATTATTAGGGGTTTGTGTTGTTTTCGCTTTTTCGGGGGTTATTTATTTATTTTTTATTTATTTATTTATTTTTAAGGGGGAGGGGGGTTATTTGTGTTTGTTTTTTTGTTTTTTTATGTGTCGTTTTTTTGTTGTTGTTTTTTGTTGTTGTTTTTTGTCTGTTTTTTAAATGTTTTGTTACGGTTTTTACGGGGGGGGGGGAACGTTTGTGACCACCCGATCCCTCTTACACCAAGGATGGTTTGCTGAAGACCAGTTCTAACCCGCATCTTCACGAGTGGTTTCACGGGAAATATAACGTCTGTATTACCTTCAGGTGTATAATAGTGTCATAATGTTTCGCTCGTATCATGCGTTGGTTTGGTCTATGATATTTTGCATGCCATATTTGCAAGTACCTACAAGTTGAAAGTGTTTCAGTAACTTTGATTGTCAATCAGTGATTACCAGATACTAAGTAGATAATTAAATTAATGTCATTTGCGCCATCTTGCTAATTGTATAAATGAGGCTGTACATGTTTAATTATACCTTTGGGTAACTCCGTGACAAAGACAGAACTCTGCACGCCAAACTCGTAGCCTTGATCTTGCCCACTTAATATGATCGACACGTTGTCGACAGTAATTACCCTCCCCATAGTTATCACCGTATGGTTTTGACTTCGAGGATTTCAAGTTAACGCGGTTATCTGTAAAACCTGTAGTTAAAACCGTCAACGTAAAGAGATTCAAAAGCGAATTGTGTGTTGGTAATGTGTGACATCCACGTCGTCCTGATGAACTGATGGAGCCACGGGATGAAGATGATGGCAGTGATGAGCTGATTTCTTTGTACTGGCAGAATATTTTTACAGTCGCTGCTGAGGTCAATACCTTTCTTTCCTTTCCTTAATTACCGGTTTCATTGGTCCCCAGGAAACTATGCTTGTCGTAAGAGGTGACTGCGTGACGAAGCACGGTGACTTGGTCAATGCTTGCGTTTTTAGGCCTACAAAAATGTTGTGGTTGCCATTACCCGACCGACCCTTGAATTCTGGTGCCGACCAAATATTTTCAAGCGGTATGAATAAAGTAAGCTTTCAGATACCATTGTTTTTTCCCGGCACCGACGGACATTGGTCAGTCTGATAGATAAAGTCGACATGATGGAGGCAAGCTTGATTGAATGAACAATTACATAAAATAATGAGTTGTTAGTCTGTTCTTTACTTCTAAAAGAAATGTGATAAAAATCCTACCTACCTAACCTAAATTTGAATGACGTGTAATCGGAACCACAACATTCTTTTTATTTGGCCTTATTCAATTCCGCAGATCAATGTTCATGCTGTCAATCACTGGATTGTCTGTTCCAGATTTAATTATTTACAAATCGCCGTTACATAGCTGGAATATTGCAGAGTGCGGCGTTAAACAGACAAGTAGATACTTGAACAACAGGGGCGGTATTCATAAATTTTCTTAGTTTATTACTTAAGTTTCCTTAAGAATTCTTAACTCTTAAGAACATTCTTAGAAGCTTTATGAATACCGCCCCAGCCCTGTATTCAGAACATGGGCGTGGTTCGTTTCTCACAACATCGATCACCGGATTGTCTACTCCAGATTCGATCCACCTCAACCCATTGTCCTATCACTGAAATAGTGTTGGGTGCGACGATATACAACAAGCAAATACATGTAATTACAAAAATCCAAGCTCACACCCCTACACCAGGACATTAAAGTGATGGTCGATCGCTACGTTGCCTCAACGTATTGCACAATGAAATGCACGTTTTCGCCAAGCCATATTAAGTCTTTTTCACAGCATTAACTTCGTTAGCGTTGGTGCATCGTAGCTTAAAAGGTTTAAAATTGTTTTCGATTAAACATGTTTACCTAAATCAATTTCGGCATGGATGGTGTGTGAAGCTGATTGTTTTGTATCCGCCCGTGCCGAGTTCCCCGTAGGTGGTCGGAGAGTCATCAAGCTTGGGTTCGTTATAAATGTGGGCTATTGCCATGGGAAGTGCTTCACATATATATGTGAGTATAACACGTGATCGGTGCATATGTTCCTGAAACACTCAACCAGAAGTTTCTGCAGTCATATGTTCTTTTTAGAATTTCAGACCGCACTAAAACATGCAAGCTCTATGGTTATATACTAGGAGAAAGATATACCGTTGTTTCAATGTAGAACATGGTTATCTGTAGACATATCAATCTGAAAATACATATACTTTATATAAGATATAAAGACAACATGTTAAGAACAAAACATACCTAGGTGTAGAGCTCGGCTAGGCGGATAGACTATATATCTAGCATACAAATATACCGTTGTTTCAGTGTAGAGCTTGGCTACC